GATGATGCCACCGAGCCTCCTCCGAAGCCTACTGAGCGCTGATCGTGGCAGCGGCGGGCGCTCCTGCTGAGCAGAAATCTCGAGGCTGCGTGTTTTCTGCACGGAGGCCTGGCCTGCTGCCTGTCAGAGCCGGGGGGGTGCGGGGGGGGGGGGGGAGACGCTCTCTCCTCCCAATGGCGTGTCCCACATGCTGCCCCAGTCTGGTTGATGCCTAAACCGCAGAACTGCCGTCGGGTTGCGACGTGAAGTGAGCCGCTGGCCGTCCCCGGGGACTGCGCCCGACCTCCCTTCAGGTCCTGTAAACGCACGCGTTGCACAACGCCTGGCGGGAACCTCGCAGCCCACACGGTGCTCCGGGAACGTCACGTGTTGTTCTTTAATGAGAGAAATGCCATCAAAATTGTTCTGAAGAAAAACAACTCTGGGATTTTGTTTAATTGCGTTTTGCTGGGAAATGCTGTTGCCTGACCCGGGCAAGAAAGCAGCTGAAGTTCATCATCCCTCTGCCAGGCCTCCCCGGGGACAGTGCGTGTCCCATCGAGGCATCACGTGACGGCCGCCTCTGTCCCCCAGCTGGGCTGTCTCTGCCCCCCGTGCACCTCTGTCCCCCGGCTGGGCTGTCTCTGTCCCCAAGGGCACCTCTGTCCCCCGGGCGCCTCTGTCCCCCAGCTGGGCTGTCTCTGTCCCCTGGGCACCTCTGCCCCACGGGCGCCTCTGTCCCCCGGGCACCTCTGCCCCACGGGCGCCTCTGCCCCACAAGGAGCTTGCAGTCGGCCTCGGTCGGTGAGTGTGGAGAAAGGCCTGTCTTGCCCTCAGGCCTCGTAGCCTAGCTGGGGGAAGGTCATGTCTACCTGGTAGACGCTCGTCCTGTAGTAAGAGGTGGAATGAGCCCCCGAGGAGCGGTGAGGGGTGTGCCTGGGGATGAGGAAGTGCTGCCCAGTGGAGGGCCCCTGGATTACACTTATGGTGACGAGTTGGGAACGGAGAAGAGCCTGCATCCCTGCTGGACGTGAGATGCTCACGCCTGGGGGAGCGGGTGCCTGGCCCGAGGCTCCCTGAGCCCCGCCCTGCAGCCCTGCATCCTCAGCCCTTTCCCACCGCCCCACTTCCCTTTCCTCTCATTGTCAGAATCACCGCCACATTTCCTGCTCGGAGGCTGGGCTGGCAGCCGCATCTGGCAGAGCGCGCTGACCACCCGGTGCCCACGGGGGCAGGGAAAGTGCCGGAGAGGCACAGGGCTGGCCGCTGGCGCAGGCTCACCGGGCAGACCCGCTGCAGGGCCCAAACCAGCTTCTGGATCCTGCGTTTCTTCCTTTGCAAACGAGGGCGGTTCTACTACGGCCGCTCCCGCCTCAGAGCATCAGGGCACTGAAGCTCTTCATTGCACTGAAGCTCGGCAGGTGCCCGGTGAGGGGTCTATCGGGTCTATCGCTACGTCCCTGGGACGCCCCGCGGCCCGCCCTCCAGGTGGGGGCTTCGCCGCTGGCGAAGGAGCTGCTGGGGGAAGAACCTCGTCTCCCTGTAGCTCAGATCAGGGGAGACACCTGGAAATCGTAGCAACGATTGGTGCGTTCGTTACATCACACAAGTGAGGACTGTTTAGTCCCAATTTTATTGGCAAAACCATGACTGCATTCCGTGCAAATAACCCCACTCCCAGTCCCAGCCGCCGTACCTGAGCCTATGACTCATGGGGTAGGAGAGAGAGAGAGAGAGAGAGAGAGAGAGAGAGAGAGAGAGAGGGAGAGAGAGGGAGAGGGAGGGAGAGAGAGGGAGAGGGAGGGAGAGAGAAAGAGAGGAAGAGACTGTGACTGTAGAGGCTGGCAAGTCCGAGGTGGGGGGCAGGCTGGGGGCTGGAGGCCCGGGAGAGTGGGGGGCAGCTGGGGTCGGGAGTGTGAGTGTCAGGAGCCCTTTCCTCGAGAGCGGGTTTTCTCAGGGCCTCAGTGATTGGACGAGGCCCGTCC